GCGTCTGTCACCCTTGTATAAGACAGAGCTCCTGGGACGTCAGAGACCTTCAACTGTCAGGTGAACAGACTTGGTGAGGGTACACATGTCCCTGCTTTTGCAGTGGCCCATGTCTCCTGCCACCAAGGGTGCCCTGCGAGGGTGCTGCAGAGAGGGCCACACCACGTTCCTTCCCAGGGAGCAGGGTTCATGATCCGGTTAACAGAGTAGGAAACAGAGCTCAGTGGTAAAATCAGGCCTGTTGCTCCACAGCCGACCAGCATGACCGGGATTCGAATCCAAGACCCCGCTGTTACCCTCACAGCACGCTGTCCAGCCAAGGCTGCGGACATCAGGGACCCTGAGTCCTTGCTCCTTCCGACATCCTACTGAGGGGGCAGAAGATGTGCCCAGGCTTAGTGGAGCATCGCTGGCTGTTTGGACAGGCCTCGGGTCTGAAAGGAAATCGCTCTTGGCAGGAGCCCCTCTGTGAGTTCGGGAGGAGCGGGTAGTGTGTGCAGAGCTGGAGCCAGGGCCTCGCAGAGCCCGGGGGAAGGGCCAGCAGGAGGGAACAGAACTGGACCCCCAGGGGACAAAGACACACAGGGAGGCCAGGCTGCACAAACACCGGGCCCTTCCTTCGGGGATGAGGCCAGTCCAGGCGACCCTTCCCAGCCGTGGGGATAAATTACCCGCCTTGCTCCAGTCCCACTGATGGATTCGACGGGAGACAGGGGCCAAGGGAGTGGGAGATGCAGCCCAGATTCAGGGGGCAGGACAGAGAGGGGAGCAAAGAGATGGAGGATGGGCAAACAGAAGATGCCCTGCTGCGTCACCCTCTCTCCCTGGACCTCTCGTGGCCAGGGAGGGGGACCTGATGGCATCTGCGCTCCTTCTGGAGAGAGGCAGGAACAGCAACCCAAGAGGGAGGACTAGGGTGCAGGGAGGGTCCATGCCTCAGTCCCCACGCCCACCGGGCACACGCCAGGCCCCGGGAGTCAGAGCCGGGGACGGCCTTCTGCGGCCTCGGACGCAGATACATCGGCGTGGAGATAGATGGACAGATGAGGTGTTGCCGAGCCTGGCGCGCAGGGCCACCTGGGCACAGGTGTGTTCAGTTGCCTCCTGGGCAGTGAGCAGGGTTCAGCCACCCCAGACGCGGGGGACAGCTGGGGGACACACTCCAGGCTCCGTCCATGGTGTGCAGCGCTGAACCCCCTCGCGCTCCCCCAAACGCTGCTCTCCAGGGCCTGGCGCTGGAGAGATCTGGCCCCAGGAAGAGGCCCACAAAGCCAGCGTGCTTACCTGGGGACATGCCTGGAGGGGGCTGCTGAGAGTGTGCTGGGGTGTGCAGCCGGGAGGAAGGGGAGGCCTGGGGGCTGCTGAGGGAACAGCAACCAAGGAGTCCCTTTTTAGGAAAAACGGAGCCTGTGAGTCACTGGAGCATCCTTTCTCAGGCAACTCTCCACGGAGGGCTGTCCCAGGGTCATGGGCAGAGGACAACGGTGCAACGGGGGCAGCTGCAGCCTCGGAGAGCAGGCTGCTGCCAGACCCCAGCCCACTGCTGCCTCCTGTCACCCGAGGCCCAGCCCAGGGGCTTCCCGCCTCGGGCGGCCGCTGCACATGCCTGCACTGCTCTCCGCTGGCCTGTGGGTGGTCGAGCCAGCTTGGGACGTCGCTCAATACGAGACGCGGGCGACTGCCACCTCATAGGTAAGGACAATCGTCCCTGGTCCTTACACTGCATTTCAGGATCCTGTGGAAACCCTTCCGGGCAGCACGTGAAGTCGTAATATTTGCAAGGAATCAAACCAAGGCTACGACTGCAGAAGCTGTGGTGGCCGGGAACGTGGGAGGCACTGGGAATAATTGTAGCGCTTGGTGGCACGGGAGCCAAGGAAAGCACCGTGATCCGTGGTTATTTTTGAGCGCGCGACCACACTGTGCGGGCACCTCCCCTCCCGTCTCTTTCTAGCTTTGCTCTCAAGGCCGGTGGGTGTTGGAATAGGCTGCCTGCAAAACTTGGGCTGTAAACACTTCTGGTTTGGGTTTCCTGGGGGGTGACTTAACCTGATGATTAGAAAAACTTTTGGGTGGATGTTCCCTTCTCCGGAACATGAAATAACAACTGCTAAAATGCTTATTTCTATTAACGGGACCGCCCCGGCTTCTCAGGGCTGGTGGGCACGGAGCGAGCCGTGGGAAGCTCTGACGTGCGTCAGCTTGCAAGGTGGCGCCCTGTGGGCCTGGGGCAGTATCTCCTCCTTTCGGGAGGGACCCACTGAGTTGGCGCAACACCCAGGGATGGACAACCACACCCCATCCCCATTCAGCGACCCATTTGGGGGAGGGCCCTCCCTTTGTTCCCGTGAGGGAGGCCTTTGGGGGCAGGAATCTGATTGGAAAAGGGAGCTGGGTGCTCGCCTTGAAGCTGCTCTTGGCAGAGACTGAGAAAACCTCAACGGTTCACAGCCCAGGATTGGGGGGGGGCGGGGAGGGCTCCCCAGGCTCCCCAGGCGCCCCCGGCGCCGCTCTGGCGCTTGCACTGAGTGGCTCTGTAGTTTCATTCGATGGCCCCGCAACCCTCACACCCCCGAGAACGAGGGTGGCACAGGTCGGAGGGGAGAGTAGGGCAGCGGAGGTGAGGACAGAGGCGGTGGCACCTAGTCCTGCTGCTTCAAGATGCTCCCTCCCGTCATCTCCCGCTCCGATGCCCCAGTACACGCCCTCAGGTGCTGTCCTTCCCCGTCCCAGGGGCTGCCAGGAAGACGGGGAGCATCTGTGAGGTGGGGTTACCCTGGCGGCCGCTGCCTCCCAGAGGCCCGGGCCCTGGGGCAGCGGAGTGCGGCTGCCTGGCTCTGCCGTGCCCGGATGTGCACTGAGTCCAGGAGAGGCCTTGGCTGCAGGCCCCACTCGCGCCCCCTCCGCCGCCCCCCCTCCTCCGCCCCAGCACAGAGCGCAACGCCAAGGCCCGCCGCCCACCGCCCTCCGCCTCCCAGAGGAAGAAGGAACATGTGAATCTTGGCAAAACAAGTTTATTGTTTAAAAAATAAATGTTACATTGGACATAGAAAAAGTCATTTTAAAAACTCTGAATGTGTCTCATTGTGTGAGGCATCTTAAGTGTTTCCAGTACTTCCATAAAAACCAGGGGCAGTTTCTCTCTGCAAAAAGGCACAGCACGGTGCTGCTGCTCGGCAGAGGCGGCTTTCATGCCCACCTCTCCCCGCCGCTTGGGGAGTTCCCCTGGCTCTCCTCTCCTGGCCTGACCGAAGCCCAGTGCCGAGTTTCCCAGCAAGGGATGGGGATGCAGGGACGTGATCTGGACCCGAGACCTCCTGCCTTCAGGGCCCACCCCCCCACCCAGGTGTCGCTGGCGACTGCTCCTAAGCACTGCACCAACTTGGCCTTCCCGGCGGTAAGCAAGGCGCAGGTCAGGGGAAGGCCCTGCTGGTATCTGCTCTCACCCTGTTCTTCCACATGCAGAACCGGGAAGTTGGAGGAAGTGCCCTTTCTCACAGAAATGTCACCTGAGAAGAGCCAATAGCACCTCAAGACAGCTGCGGCGGGCAGGTGGTGCCCGGCAGAGTGGTTGTGGGGAAGGTATGTGGGGGGGGGGGCGGGTACCCGGCAGCACACATCCTTCACTCCCGCAAGGGGCCGGCCAGGGGACCCCTGTCTCCAGGCCCTTGCCCCCTCTGGAGCCTGTCCTTTGTGGGGTGGGCAGTTGCAGATCATGTGGGCTGGTCACCATGGCCACCTCGCCAGGTCACCAATGGCCCTTCCTGTGACATGTTTGCTCTCTGGCATGTTGCCAGGCAGCTCCTCTACTCGTGGACCAAGGTCTGCACGGTGCTGTCTGCTTAAGATAAAAATGTAGCTGCAAAAGGACGAAGCAGACACTGCTTGTGTGAGGCTGCATGCACTTCTGTGGGGGGAGGGGGGGCTTGTTTCTGAAAACTAAATAGTAAGAAAGGTTTGAGGGAAGCTTCTCCCTTCCTTTCCGTCACACTGTCCCCAGCTCTCGGCCTGGGCTCACTGTACAATGGGGAGAGGCAAAGCTCCCCGACCGAGGAGGCCAGCCTGTGCATCTGGAATGACAGTCCCCGAGGGAGTCTTCTGGAATATTAGTCCACAGGCAGAAAGCTCCGGCCATGCTACTAAACCAAGGGTGGGAATAAAGCACGCTCCGCGGAGCAAAGGGGAGCAGGGAAGATCAACAGGACGAGACTATTTTAACTTGCGGTTAGCAGAAAACTCTGTTCCCAGATCAAAATCAGATTCTAGCTTACAGCAGTCTGGAAAGTCCCTCGCTTCTTTCCCGACAACTCGTGGTAACAATGCTTGCTCTAGAGATGCCAACTTGACAAGGCCTCCCGAAGGGGGGGCCCTTCTGCCTTCACAGGACTCTGGGTAATTGTCATTGCAACATGCACCCCAGGGCTCCCTGAGAAAGAGGTGGCACTGCAGGGGGGCCGGGGGGCACATCTAGAATCCTCAAGACCTGGCTTAGAGCAACTGGCCTATTGTCTTCAGAGTTTGGTTTCAGTTTCAGAATCATCGGTAAATGAGGATCGTTCTGCCTACCTCACAGGATTGTTGAAAGGATCACACCAGACCACGCTGGCCACATGTTTCGTATCCAGCCTGATACTTAACCCCTATGTCACGATGGCTCCCAGGCTTCTGATTAGAGCTTCTGCGTCACCCTCCCTTGTCACAGGGCCTGAGCGTCCCATCCCCAGGGCTAAAGCAGCATCAGCTGGGGGCCTGGGCGGCCTCGCTGCGCTGGGTGAGTCCGAGGCATGAAGCTGCGGACTGCAAAGCCTGGGGCCCAGTTCCAGCGTGGTCAGCAAGTCCCCGTGGGAGCCAAGCAGGTCTCCCTCCAAGCCTGGGTCCTCGGCATGTGGATCAGGGTAGAGCTAGATTACAGCAGCATTTTTTCAAACTGTGTAACAACTCAAGCCAGCGGATCGCAAGCAGCATTTTTTTTTAACGAAAAATAGAACATGAAGGGTACCCCCATGTTACATTTGTGTGTGAGACAGATTGCTGCAGGACTCGTGATGTAAAGGGTTTCTGGATGCGGTTTATGGTCCAGGAAGTTCAGAAGCCAGCAGTGCAGCTGGCCCGGTTCTGAGACTCCCTCCTTCCCGGCGCAGGGCAGGCAGGGAGCAGGCGGGGAGCAGGTGGGGAGCAGTTGGGAGCAAAGACTGACAATGTCTCCCAGGGGTCTTTTCGGATGTGACTCAAAGACAGCAGTTGATTCTGGGAAGGAACGCTTTGGCCCTTCTGCCCCATCCCTACCCCCGGGTGCACACCCTCCACAGATAAGGGTGCATTCTGAGGCCTAGCAACACTCAGAACAGGACGTGCCAGGCTCAGGCCGGCAGTGACTCATTATTATTCAGAAACGGTGGCACAGCTCACCGTTTGTCCTGGGCTGAGGCTTGGGCCTGGGGAGGTCGCTTTCTCTCTGGTGTTGCAACCGCAGAGGAAGAAATTCCCTGAGAACAGCTGGGGGAGTGTTCAGGGCCAAGGGCTCAGGGAGGCAGATTATGAAAATGCAAGTACAACGCGGGAAGGCGGGGAAGTCCGACCGCCAACCGGCAGGGATGGTGCACGAGCGCCCCCACCTGGCCACAGGTGGCACCCGAACTACAACCGCCTCGGTCCGCCAAAAAGCTAAGATGCCGACCTCCAGCAACGGAGGAGACTTCCCGACCCGGTACTGTGATTCCGTTCTGCCAAGGTGAGCTCTGTGAGTGTACGGAGAGATGCCCCACCTGGACCTGGCCGCTGGAGGCCAAGGGAAGTGGAATTTTAACAAGACTGCCCGGCTCAGGCATCCATTTCATAGGCTCACATCTCAAAACAAGAGCAGTAATTCCTGCACACCCACAGCCTTGAGGGAAGTCTGAACAGACAAAAGTAAAGACATGGGTTTTGTGATGCTCTGCCTCACCAAGGAAAGCCCTCAGTCTGACGCGGGCACTGCTCAATTGATACACAGTGTGGGTATGAGTCAGAGGCACACAGAAAAATCTCTCCTTCATTGATCGTCACAGCTCGGGGGCATGACCATGTGGGACATAGAAATAAAAATTAAATGTATCCTGAAAATTTTGATTCTTTTAAAAGCATTTCAAAGATACCCCCTGGGGGTTCTGGGAAAACAAGTAGCGTTGCCCCATGCTGAAGAGCAGAGCACCCAACCTATTCTTAAGGAGAAGCACCCAGTTTGTTCCCCAAGTCTTCCGGCAGTGTGTTAGCGGTGAAGTGTGAGGCGGCAGACAGGGAGGCGGCAGGCTGGATGCCCCCAAGAGGTAGTGTGAGAAAGGCGGGCGGCAGCCACTGCTACTGTGCACTGTGGCTGCCCCGCCAAAGGGCCTGGGTCCTGTCTGGTCAGGGAAGAGTGTCTGGATGGTCTGTCATTCGATGGCACATCTCTCCCCTGAAGAAATATTTGACTGGGTCTTTCCTGGTAAAACAAGAGAGGAAACACCTGCTGGGAAGTCCCCTGAGATGTAAAGGACCCTCTTACAGAAGGGCTCCTTGGAATGGCCTGAGCCTTTCTGCCCAGCATGTTTGACATCAGGGACGGGCCGCCATGCCCCCCGGCCGAGGAGCTGGGGCGCCGGCACCTCCCCCATGCGCAGAAGTTCACCTGCTGAGAAAGGGCTCCAAGCAGCAGTCGCAAGATTTTTGGCACCATTGTGACATCCTAGTATTTGTGGCTGTGTTACTGTCATCATCTTCCATCTGTCTATGAATGGGGCGTCTGGGGGACAGCCAAGGCACAGAGCCGGGACAGAAAGAGCACCCACAGTCGGGACCCAGGAGGAGGGACCCAGCACACTGAGCAGGCAGACGGGAAGGCAGGCCGAATGGCGGAGGCCCGGGGAGAAGGGGGCCTGGGAAGCACGGGCTGCGGCAGCCAGAGCGTGCCAGACGGCTCCAGCGCCCGCTCGCCGCGGCGCTGCCGCCTGTCTCCCATCCACACCCTTCTCCACGGGAACCAGTTCGAGGGCCCCCACTCCGGACTCTTCCTCTCAGCCGACTGCACACCTCCTTCTGAGGCTGGGAGCTTTCACACCGTCCTGTTTTGTGCTGCGTGATGTTCATGGGTCACTGCCGCAGGTCTTTCCTTCGGGTGGATGTTTTTCTCCTACCTTGGATGCGAGGTGGCTCTTGAGCCTCCACTTCTTCCTTGTTTCTGTGTCTGCCCACAACTCGATGGGGACTCTCAAAGGGATTGACTGGGATAGGGCCTCTCCCAGGGCCTGTCCCTGAGGCATCAGATTCCAGAGCTGGGGCACGCGGGCAGGTGGCAGGACTCACAGGGGAGGGGACAGGACAGGTGAAAGACAGCATGGGAGCGAGCGGAGGGCGAAGGCACCGTCATCCCAGAAACGCCTCGTAGTCCATGTACCAAACCAGCTGGCCAGAGTCAGGCAGGACGCCCGAGATGGGCCACTTCTTGGGCTCGTGGCCCACGCGGCTCACCAGCAGGGTGATCTCGCGCTTCAACCTGCCCATGACCAGGACCACCACCTTCCTGGCGCGGTTGATGAGGGGCAGGCTGAGGCTCATGCGGTGGTGCGGCTTGAAGGGGCTCTCGGTCAGCACAACCAGCCGCTCGCCGTCCAGGCCGGCGGGCGACTGCGGGAAGAGGGAGGCCGTGTGCCCGTCGGTGCCCATGCCCAGCAGCACCAGGTCGAAGCTGCCATTGGTGACCAAGGCAGAGATCTCCTCGGCGTAGGCCTGGGCGCCCCGGTCCTCCTCGGCGCAGAGCCGCTGGTGCCGCTGCACGGGCATGGGGTGCACGTTGTAGTAGGGGATCCTGATGTGCTGCAGCAGGTGAGTCTGCAGGCCCTGGAAGTTGGACTCGGGGTCCCAGAGCGGGACGCAGCGCTCGTCCACCAGCCACACGTGCGTGTGCGCCCAGGGAAAGCCGTAGTGCCCCGTGGCCAGCTGCTGGAACAGGGCGATGGGGCTGGAGCCGCCCGAGAGCGCCAGGTGGAACCGGCCAAAGCGCTGCACCGCCCTCGTGGCCGCCGCCTCGATGTCGTCGGCCAGCTTCGCGATCAGCTCCTCCGGCCAGGCTGTGACCAGGGGGCTGTCTCGGTACTTGGCCCTGAGAACCTGGAAGTCACTGGGCGCCGGGGCGGAAGCTGTTCCCGGCACCAGCAGCTCCGGCTGCTGCACGGAGAAGGCTACCTGGCTGCCGCTGAACTCAAAGTCCAACAGGTGCCCGTTCTCAGCTCCCCCCGGGTAGAGGCGCGGGGCCTCGCGGGCCAGGCTCTCCAGCAGGGGCGTCCAGAAGAGCCAGGAGGCCAGCAAGTTCTCCGTGGTGATGAAGGAGTCCTTGCGGCCGTGGAAGATGTGCGATATGAGGATGGAGTAGGCGTCCTGCTCCCGCACGGGGCTGTAGGCGTAGTAATCGGACAGAGGGCTGCCAAAAAGGCGGAGCCCAGGCCGGCCCTGCACCTCCTTCCAGCTGCTGGAGGGCAGGGTGGGCCTGAAAAGAGTCCGGCTGACCAGCACGGCGGGGCTGCCCAGCTCGCCGTGGCCGATATAGAAGACGATCTGCCGCGGCAGGCACCGGCTCTGGTCCCCGGACCAGTGCTTCTCGCTCTGGGCACAGCACGCCTGGTTCTTGAACAAGACCCGAACATAGCCCACTCTCTCGTCCAGTGCTTTGCCCGACATCAGGACGAAGGGGACGCCCTCCCAGCGCAGGTTGTCCACGTGAACGAGGATGCCTGCAGTGACGGGGGGACAGCGCGGTGACACTCAGCGCAGGGAAGCGGGGACTTCCCAGACCACTCGACTTCCCCTTCCGACTTCCTGCCAGCCAGCCCTCCTCCTCCCCGAACCCCACCTCTGGGCGCCCACTGGGCCAGCACACCCCTGGCCTCGCTAGACTCGCCCCCACCTTGCGCCCCTCCCATCACCCTCTCCCCAGCAGAGCCGGACAAGCGCTGGGACCATCAGGGACGCGCCCCTCTCCCGGACCCACAGGCCCCGGAGGAAGGAGGGGTGGCTGAATCCCTGACCTGGAGCCTCTGAGAAAAGTCTCTGGGCAGGGGATCCTGACGCCCGGGGTGGGCGGGGGGGGGGGGGGGGGGGGCGGTGCTCTGGACAGAGGGCTCTGGACCGGAAGCAAGGTCAGCACCGGAGAAGGGCAGGGATGGCGCATAGGTAGGGACGCCTGCAGAGGGTGCTAAGGGCCAGACCCGGAGTGGACTCCGGCTCGAGGTCCAAGCCTGTTTCCCCACATACTATCTCGGCTGGACCCCAGGCAGGTTTTTCACTGTCACCAAGTCTCGAATCTCCTTCCCTTTAACTGGGGGTGATGAGCATGCCTGCCTCGGGGGTGTAAGTGTGTGAGGACTAAACGAGATGATGTATGTAAAGCGCCGGGCTCGGGTCAGCGCCTGGTCACCGGCTGCTGCTCTTGCTGTGGGGTTAGTATCTGCAGCCTGAGGGAGCTCCGCTCTCCCAGAAAGCTCCGCGGCGGCGGCGGGGACGGCCCAAGGGGCACAGCCTGCCCTGGAGCCCACCTGCGAAGGTCGGCGTCAGGCTCTGGAAGCTGGCTGGCTTGTGCAGCTCCCTGCGCACCTGCTCGCTGTACGCCTGGTACTGGCCCACGACGGCGTTGCCCCTCCGGAGGCCCCGCAGCGCCCGGAAGGCCTGCAGCTTGTGCTGCAGCACGGCCACCGAGCTGCTGACGTTGTGGGGCAGCTCCATGGCCACCAGCGTCAGGATCTCCGTCAGGTGGTTCTGCAGGACGTCGCGGATGACGCCGTACTCCTCGTAGAAGCTGGTGCGACCTGAGCAGGAGGCGGAGGGGAAGGAGGAGGCCATGAAGCGCAGGCAGCACACCCAACTTTCCGAGGGGCACTGGGACCTCACCCGGCACGCCCTGTCCCGCACCCTCATTCCAGCCCAGGGAGCCTACAAAAACGGTTTAGGCAGAAAACCGCACCAAGAGGAGGACAGCGGTGTCTCTGGGCCACCTCCCCTCAGTGACAGCCATTTAAACAAGATGTCAAACTCTCTGGGCTTCTCCAGGAACAGCGTGGGGAAGGCTCTGATCCCAGCAAGGGCCAGGCTGCATTCACAGGCATGGAGCCGGCCTCTGGCCCTGCCCCCGCACCTTCCCCCCATCCCTACCCCCACCCCCGGGCATCGGCCTGGGCTCTCGGGTCTGACAGCTGCTTACTGGTGTGTGCCTTCTGAGTCTCTGTTTGTGCCTCCTGCTGACAAGCGTCACCCATTACCAAGTGCACAAATGTGCCAGGCAACCTGCAGGCACCAAGGACACAGACAGGTCCTTTTCCTCGGCTTGCAGGGAGGGAAGGGGGGAGGGAGAAGACCATAAGTCTGTAGAGAAACTGAGATGTCGCCAGAGGGTAATAAGAAGGCCCCTCGGAGACCCAAAGAGCCAGCCCTGCAAAGAACCACGGGGAGAGCACGTGGGAAGCCAGGGCCCGGAGGCAGGACGGAGCCTGCCTGGCGAGGGGTCTGGAGGGCGAGCCAGAGGGAGGGGACAGGAGCACAGGGGCCTGGAGCCCCAGGCACAGAGGCCACACTGGCCTCTGAGTTGAGGGGAAGCCACTGGGAGGTTTCAAGCGGGAAAGGACAAGTTCTGACGTGTACGCGGGGTGGACCCCCGGCCTGCTGTGGGGAGAGCGGCTGTAGAAGCGAGGAGACCGAGGAGGCGGCTTTAGAGGCAGAACAGGAGCCGGAGGGGGTGGGCGATTCGTTCTGGAGTCGGGCTGACCGGACTTGCTGAGGAAAAAGGGGGAACCAAAGGTAACTCCCAGAATTGGGGCCTAAACAAAGGACAGGCGCTGGTGGCATCTGCAAAACAGTTTGACGGAGGGGAAGCCATGACTTCCATTTCAGGTGTGTCTCAGCTTAGGACATCCAGGTGTGGACGTCAGGGTGGCAGGTGGGCAGGGTCACTGTGATGGCAAAAGGGAGTAACACGGAACACTGAGCACGCGGTCCGGCTATGACATCTCGATGCCTCCCGCGGCCTGGCGCGGGGCCAGGACGTTCCACGTGCCCCTCGCGTTCACAGGGATCCTGCGTGGAAGCCGCCACCGCTGCCCCTGCTCTGCCCAAGAGGGAGGCGTCGGAAGCTCAGGGCCGGCACCGGCAGGGTCAGGAGCTGGTTAGACCCACTACGCTCCACTCCCGCCTCCAGAGCGTAGTGTGAGCTCTGCCGACAGCCTCACACCCAGCACCTCCACTCGCCCTGCAGGTCCTGCTTCCAGGAGATGCCACGGACCTCGGGCCCACCCTCCCGGGGGCCCCGCCTCCTGCCCATCCCCCGCACCCTGCCCACTGACTCAGTGTCCGTCTGTCTCTTCCCTGCCACCCCTAAAGCTCCGCCAGAGCAGGGGCTGCGTCTCTGCTCGCTGCTGCGTCCCTGGCACCTGACGGAGTGCCGCCGTCCACCATGCGACACGGAGCCGCAGAGAAAACGAACGTGCAGGCGTCGCCACGGCCCAGTCGCAAAACCCGGCCGACAGGCACAGGGAGGCTTCCATCACATTAACTCTGGAACTAGGATGGGAAGTGACCGGAAAAAACAGAACTTCAACAAAGGGGAAAATATCACTGGAAATTAGAAATGCAATGGATGGGTTTTATGTGTTAGAAAGAGTTGAAAAGAGTCAGTTACTAGAAGTCAGGTCCGAAGAGATTACCCTGAATGCAGGATAATGGGGTGAAAACAGCCCCCTCAGGCGCACAGTCTGACTCCCCTTCAGGATTCCACAGTGTGTTGTCACTGAGTCAGAGGTACAGGGAAAGAACAGAGAGACGCAAGAGAATAACCTACACAAAATTTGGGAGAGCGAATGAGAGGATACGGGATAGAACTTGGGGAGGGAGGCGGGAGACAATAAAGTTCTTTTTTAAAGATTTTTATGCATTTATTTATTTTTAGAGAGGAAGGGAGGGAGAAAGAGAGGGAGAGAAACATTGATGTGTGAGACATAGATCGACTGGTTGCCTGTCACACACCAGCCAGGGCTAAAGCTCTTTTTTAAAGGTGGGTTTGATCCTGGTTGGTGTGGCTCAGTGGACTGAGTGCCGGTCTGTGAACCAAGGGGTCGCTGGTTTGACTCTCAGTCAGGGCACATGCCTGGGTTGCAGGCCAGGTCCCCAGCAGGGGGCGCACAAGAGGCAACCACGCATTGATGTTTCTCTCCCTCCCTTCCCATCTCTAAAAATAAAGAAATAAAATCTTAAAAAAAAAACATAAACATGGGTTCAGTACAGGGTATTTGTTATACCATAGTTCTGTAGAGCTTACGCATGTTTTGTAGCATTGTTTTTTTAATCTAATCCCTATCTAAATCAAACAGAGAAGTGGCTCCTTGGTCAGCCCAGCCTGGCCGAGCACACTGCTTCACAGCAGCCACCCTGGGTTCTGGGCGCCGGTCCCCCACCGTCTGTCCCGACCAGGCTCCCGTGCAGCCCAGGCCAGCCGGGTGGCGAGCAGGGCCGGGCCACGACCCACGGACAACCTGCCCTGAAGTCAGCCCAATGTGCCACGCCTGATGGCGATGCCAGTGTGCGGGGCGAGAAGGGAAGCCAGGAGCCCTCTTGCAGGAAGGCACCCTTGCCCCCAGGGTAGAATTCTGACTGTTGTCTCCAATGGGAGTCCAGCCTCCCGGGCCAGAGTGCACATCTGAGGGTGCCGGGCGGCGCAGCCCCACCGTCCGGCCCCAATGCTCCAGGAGTCCGCCGCCGGGAGGACAGGGCCGAGCTCCCCAGCCGCACGGGCTCTGATCTGCAACCCTCTTACAGGATTGTTGAGAAGACATCAGGGAAAAGATCATGACAATAGCAACGTGTGTGTATCAGTTCCCACACTCCTCACAACAGCGAAACATTACGCAGTCCGGCTGTAACCCCTCGTTTAAAATATAAGGAAACTGGGGTTCCGAGAAGTTAGGTAACCTGCCCAAGGTCACAGAGCTGGATAAGGTTCGAACCCCGGCAGTCGGCCCAGCGCCCGCAGTGCTGGCCACCAACATAGCTCCCTTTGGACTTCCCACCCCACCACTCCCACTGAAACCACCACACAGCAGAGGTTACACGCGGTGCCACCTGAGTGGCAGGAACGCCAGGGAGCACGAAGGTCAAAGACACAGGCTGAGCTGGGCTCTCGGAGGACGGGACTAGGTCAAAGGTCAGGACCCCCATGCCGAGAGGGGCCAGCAAAAGTGTGAGGTGGAGTGGGCAGGGCTTATGCCCCCAGGACAGTTAACTGCCTCAGCTCCCATCAGGTGGTACCTCCCAGGGGTTGAAGAATATAATATGAACATTTGGATCACTGGGTATAATCGCATGGGTTATTTTTAATATATATACATTTTTCCTCACTGAAGACATTTTTTTTCATTGCTTTGTAGAGAGAGAAAAAGGGAGCAGAAGGGAGAGAAACATGCATCGATGCCAGAAAAAAGCATTGGTCAGCTGCCTCCTGCATGTGCCCAGACTGGGAGCCACAGCCGCACAACCAGGGTTTGTATATACCAGGACCGGGGATTGAACCTGCCACCCAGGCATGTGCCCTGACCGGGAATTGAACCCACAACCTTTTGGTTACAGACGACGCTCCAACCCACTGAGCCACACTGGCCAGCGCCAATCTCATGATTTTTAAATGTGCACAAACAATTCAGATTTTTTAAAAGACTGTGTGTCCCAAAGACACATATGTGTGGGCTGACTCTGCCCCAGGCCACATCCTACTTGGGTGAACAGAATGAGCCAGAGGGCGGCCCCCGGCATGAGGTTCAGATGACAAGCCGGGCTTGGCAGAAGCAGCCTGTTTGAGGTTCCGAATGGCAGACACCGAGGGCGGATGGAAAGGGCCTTGGAAACGGGACCCAGGAGTCTGAGGAGCCAAAGTTCTTGGCCTCGGCCAGTTGAGGAGTTACCACGTGACCCAGCAATCCCACGGCCCTGTGTACCCAAGGGAAATGAAAGCAACGTGTCCACACAAAAACTTGTACATGAATGTGCACAGCCACGTTATCCACAGCAGCCAAGACACAGCAGCGCCCTAAACGTCCAGCCACGGACGAATGCATCGCTAAAACGCGGTCTGTCCAAGGACGGAACACTAGGCAGCCACAAAAAGCAATGACGTTCGGACACAGGCTACAGCATGCATGAACCTTGAAAACATCACGCCAGGTAAAATAAGCCAAACAGAAAAGGCCACACATCGTGCGATTCCATTTATACGAAATGTCCAGTATGGACAAATCCACAGAGACAGACTAGCGGTGGCGCGGGGCTGGAGAGAACAGGGAGGTTCGCGGACGGCCGCGAAGGGGCCCAGGGTTCCTCGGGGGTGACAAGAAGGTTCTAAAACGGGTGTTGGCGGTGGCTGCACAACCCTGGGCGCATCTAAAACCCCCCAAATGGCATCCTCTGAATGGGTGAATAATGTGATAGACAAATTAGGTCTCAATAAAACTGTTTGTTTTTTTTAAAGTATTACAGCAGACAAGTGGAGACATGAAGGCAAGTGCTGGGGACAGCCAGGCTGTCTGGGATGTGCCGGGCGAGCTGCAGCAAGGGGCCGGCAAGAAGGACTTCCAGCAGGGCCTGACCACACGGAGCAACAAGGAACACAGACGGCAGTCCACAGGAGAGGAGAAACTGCGTGGAGCCGGCTGGCTCAGTGAACGGCCGTTCAGAGCCGTGACCCAGAGTGGAGGGCTCCAGCCAGGCTGCCTGCTCTGCCGCGCCTTAGCCCTGTGACCCCGGGCGAGGGGCTCTGTCCCTCACATAAGAG